GCTCGCGGGCCCGCCGTCGTGAACCCCTGTGTGCCAGCGCTGGCACCAGGGAGTGGGCCCTCGCAGGCCAGAGGGCCTGCGAGCGGCGGTGGAGCATGCTGAAACTGAAACCACGGGCTCGCCATGTCGAGCGGGGGCTTCTGTGCCTGCTCGGGGTGGCGGGTCTAGTGGCGAGCCTAACCTAATCCTCCTCCTCCTCTGGCTCCTCCTCCCCTCCTTGAGGACATATCTGTCCGTATGTGCCTGGCTGTTTCGGCACTGGCGCGTTGGCAGTTGCGCCTCGCGATTCTCCCACCATTCGTGGCTTGGCTCATCCCGTCTGTGTGCTGCCACTTGCCGGGCGATTGAGTTTGCGTGATTATTCACGGAGCTTGGTCTCCGACATTTAACTTTGCAGCACTGCTGTCAGCTCGGTCTGACCCGGTCCGGAGCGATCGGTGTTTTTCTTCTTATGCTACGCTGGGCGACGCGTTTGGCTTTCTGCGTGTGTGACGGTTGGAGGCCGTCTGGGGTTCGCGCACACACGCTACGTTTGTCTAGCACGGTCGGCGCTGCCAGCGAGTGCGAATGATGTCCGACTCGCCTGTGAAGGCAAGCGCTTCAGCGGACAGGAATCGTTTTTTCCCCAATGCGTCTGGTCTGCAGCATCAGAAGCAAAGCGTATGGGTCTGCGCGTGCGTGTGCGAGTGCGCGTGCGCGTGTGCGCGCGCGTGTGTGCGCGCGCTGCACGCGCGGCTGGTGGACGGCAGCTCTTCCGAGGTCGTGGGGTCCAGCTCGCACCCGTCCGCGCGCCAGCGAAGCTCAGGAGCGGGGTAAGACGTAGCAGTGCTTCAGCGCTCATGCCAAGCCATAGCCAGGGCCCCAGTTTCCGTAGCAAGCGGGAGCCCAGGCTCCGCCCATTCCAGGACCTCCTTCTTAAACTTGTGGCCCAGACGGGCCCCTCTTTGACGGGAATCTTGAACCCGCCCCCTCCAGGCTCTGGCCCATGTAGAGGCCGCGTGGTGTTCATGTTCCTGGGCCCACTTACTCACCTGCCAGATCCGCTCCTGAACGTCGGTCTTTGACCAATCCAAAGGCTCCGAGTCCTTGCGCTCCAAAAAGTCCCGTGTTTGCTATCCGTGACTAGTCCACGAGCGTTCGCATCAGGACCTCAGCTTGCTGCAAGCCCTCCAGGGTGGGTTTAGGCCCGCACCAGAGGTCCGGGGCGTTGAGGAGCCGTCGCTCGAAGACACGCCGCATCCCGCCTCCCCCGATGGCCCGAGGGTGGGCAGGAGAAGGCTGGCCCAGCAGCGGGATGTTCTGGCGTTCGGTGTGTACTTTGCTTATGCCTCTTGTGTACCTGGTTATATTTGTCGTCGAACGGACCATCGGGTGGAGCATCGACACCACCACCACCACCACCACCACCACTGAGTCACCTCTGGCGTGGAGGTCCACGATGCCTTCCCGAGCTGGGGATGGGAGGTGCCTCGAGACAGACGTCGTAAGACATGGGGCCACGCCACTGAGAGGTCCCTTCCTGGCTCTTCTCGATGGCAGTGGTGCTGCTGGTTCTCTTTGCTCCCAGTCTGTGAGCGTGAGCTCCCTCGGCACAGGCTCCCCGCCATTGCCTGAGGCTTCGCCGTCTCGCGCGGGCCGTCGTGGGTAGGCCGCTGCTTTGGCCGTCGGTCGGGTCTGCAGGTAGGCCGTCGTCTTGGCCGTTGACGTGTCCTTCGGGTAGGCGTCGGATCGTCCGTCGTCGGCCGCGGCGCTGGTCGTGGAGTTGGTCGTCGGGCCGCCCGTCGGTTTGTCCGTCGGGCCGGCCGTGGGGCAGCCCGCCGTCGTGTTGGTCGCCAGCGTCTTTCGTGTGGCCGATGTCCTGCTCGTGGAAAGTGTGTGTTTCTGCTCGGTGTGAGTGGCGCTGGCATCGCTCCAGTCGCTGACCACCGCGGTACCGTGTGCGCCTCCGGCTGCGGTTTTCTGTGCTATTGCCTTTGCGCTCTGCGATGCTCGGGCCATCCTGGTTCCGGTCGTGGGTCTCGGCGGTGTCCACGTCGTGTTTGATCACGTGGTCGGTCTCGTCCCTGTGGTTGCTGCCAGTGTCGTGCCTGGCAACCTGGATGACTCGTACACTTGAGGGAGCCGACTGGTGAGCAGGTTGGAGTCGGCATAGCAGGACCACGTAAGCTTGATAGATTCCATGCCAGACTTCGCGTTGCTGGTGCGCGCGACATGCCCCAGTCGTCGGATAGCCCTGCCCTTGATGTGGGCACCATCCGAGGGCATGCCTTTGCCTGGGAGGCTGGAGTGGTCACAGGAGAAGTTGCCCTCAAAAAGCCAAGTAGGCGGCTTTTCCCCCGTGGGGCCCGAAGTGGTCCCACAGAGAGAGTTCTGTCGGGGTGGCTGTGCTGGCACCCGTGGGCGTGAACTTCGGAGGAGGAAAAGGTACCCATGCTTCTACCCCCTCGCCCGTTTTCCTTTTTTTGGACCTCCAGCGAGGCCCTCGTCGCCACCGCTGGATTCGCCCCGAAATCCTGGTCAGAACGCACTCCGGGAGAGGTCCGGGGAGTAGCGGTATCGGTACCTTTTGGTTTCCCCAGAACCGCCGCCTGCAAACCTCGCTCTGCCATGGCAGGCGCCGCGCTGAGTCCAGGGCGCAATCTGCGGATCAGGCCTGCCCGTGGAGCAAGCTTGGCCAGGGCCTCGCCTGGTGGGCCTGGCCTGTCGTTCTCTCCTTCCCTCCTCCCCTCCCCTCCCTCTCCTTCTCTCCTCCCCTCTTCTCTCTCCCCTCCCCTCTCTCCTCCCCTCCTCTCTCTCCTCCCCTCCCCTCCCTCCCCTCTCTCCTCCCCTCTCCTCCCCCTCTCTCCTCCCCTCCTCCCCTTGCCATGTTTCCATAGCGGGCGTTTTCGCCCAGTTTCGGGCACCGGGGCCCTGGCAGCTCGATCCGGCTCGACCAACTGGCGCAGAAAAGATGGGGTCCGGGGCTCCCGTGGTGATGTTCTGCGATGTTGCATTTTTGCCACGCCGGACGTGAGGGCCTGTCCCTCCTCACCCTCCGCCTCGCTCTGCCTCCTCCCTCCTCTCCATCCCTCCTCTTCCTCCCCTCCCATCCTCCTCCCCGCTCTCCCTCCTCCTCCTCCCTCCTCCTCCCTTCCCTCTCCTCCTCCTCCTTCCTCCTCCTCCTCCTCCTCCTCCTCCTCCTCCTCCCAGGACAGCTTCCGCTATCAAAGAGTGCAAAGAGTCCTCCTCCTCCTCCTCCTCCTCCTCCTCCTCCTCCTCCTCCTCGATCTCCGCCGACGACAGCGACGGCTGCGACGAGCGCTGCAGCGGCGACGGCGACGCCGGCGGAGGCGACGGCCTCGGGCGACGAGCGCCGGCGGAGACGACGGCTCCGGGCGGCCAAGCCGACGGCGACGCCGACGCGACGGCGGCGAGGTGCTGGCCTTCGGGGGCGTGGTCAAGGGCCTGGTCCTGGCACGCAACTCGCCGTGCCTCAAGCAGAAGCCAGAGGTCCCCTCGCTCGACGAGCTGCCCTCCTCCACGATGCGCAGCACCAGGACGGGGCGGGGGGGGGGGGGGACGGGAGGCGGCAGAGCGGGGGAAGATATATCGAACGTTCTGCCGTCAGACTCGCGCTGCCTCTTCCTCCTCCCCCGTCCCCCCTTCCCGCTGCCCCTCCTCGTCGTCCTCCCTTCCTCCTTCTCCTCCTCCTCCTCATCCTTCTCCTTCTCCTCCTCCTTCTCCTCCTTCTCCTCCTCCTTCTCCTCCTTCTCCTCCTCCTTCTCCTCCTTCTCCTCCTCCTCCACCTCCTCCTCCTCCCGCGTCATCGCCGCCGCCTCCGCCGCCTCTGCCGTCGCCACTGCCGTCGTCGTCGCCGTCGCAGGAGCGGCGTCGTCATGAGCGGCGGCAGCTCCGCGAGCTCGAACCCGTCGCACCATCGCAACCTCCTCGCCAACGCCCGCAGCACGAGCAAGGCAGGGCGGCCCTTCTCGTGAGGGATGCGGGGGAGAGGTGATCAGAGTAGCGAGATGGTCTGAGACGGGGATGTATCCATAACCACCGCATGGGGGATTGATCTTAGAGAACCTCGGTAGGCAGCGGATACAGACACACTCGGGCCCCAGGGGGCCCAACATCTGCATATCCACCACCTGCTATGGTCCCCGAAGGTCGATCTCCAAGGTGGTGATTATGGATCAACTCCCTCTGCGCACAATTTAATCGTGCGTTCCAACATTTGCAGGTTTTCTCGTTGTCCCGCGCGGCCAGAGACGAATGGCCGAGTGCGAATTGACCGAGGACCACTAGAAACTCCAGAACCTCCAGATCGTATCCTGGGCCAGTCGCATTCTGCCATTGATCTCTTCCTGAGGGTGGAATGAGGAGGACTACAAGACTTTACGCGCCCTTGGGTCGCATAAGCGTAAACTTTCTTCGGAGGTTCGCGCGGACCTCAAAAGTTTGGAGTGTTATGCTCAACGATCGCGCCCCGCTCTGGGGTGCCGTGAGGGGAGTATTGGGTCTATCCTGACTGTGTTGCTGCAGCTGTCTTGGGGCCGTCCGGTGACAGGAGGAGGGGGGAGGAGGGGGAGGAGGAAGGAAGGAGGAACGCGGGAACCGTCTTTCCGAAACGAGGAGCCAACACCACAGGATGGTTGGGAAACAATGGCAACCCAACAGCAGTTTTGCAAGATTCCCCAGACAGTGCTTGCACTTAGGGGTTCTTGCATCTCCTCTAAGGAAGTGGGCCAGTTGGGCGGTCTGGCGGCTGTGTCGTCAACGTCGCCGCCCCGTCGCCGCCTCGTCGCCGCCCGTCGTCTGGGCCGGTTGGGCGATCTGGCGGCTATGTCGTCGCCGTCGCCGCCCTGTCGCCGCCTCGGTGCCGCCCGTCGCCGCCGCTCGATTGTGTCATTGATTGCACGGACAAAATTCGCGCCTGCGGCTCGCTTTCTGATCGCTCACTACATAGATTGCGCAACATAGATCCCACAACATCGGTTGCACCACAGAGATCGCACAACACAGATTGCACAAGTACATATCTTGCACCAGATTGATTGCACAGCTCTTGTGCGACTGCAATCCCATCGATTGCATTCCAATCGGTTGCAATCTATTGCGCCGCATAGCTTACATCACATAGCTAACACCACGTAGATGAGTACGTTTGCTCCTACCACAGATTCTCGGGCTTACGCCGCACCGCCGGCGTAGTAGATGCCTGCCGGTGGGGGCCTCGTGTGGGCCTTTTGGGGGTCTGGTGGGACCTCCTGGGGGCTTCTTGGGGCCGAGTGCTCGGAGTTTCCGTTCGGGTCTTCCGGCTGGCTTTCTTTTGGAGTTGGTTTTGGGCGCCTCTGTGGGCGTCGTGGAGGCCGCTTCTGCCGTCGTGGGGGCCATGTGGGCCCTCTACGAGCGTCGGGAAGTTGAAAGCGCGAAATTTCCCCCAAACCGCGAACAATGTGTTCGGGGAAGCTATGATTTGCCCTTCTTGGTGCTCTCTTGGATGGCCTCTTGGAGGCCCCTCGGGGCGTCTAGAAGGCTTCCTGAGCCGTCTGGGGGCCATCTTGGGCGTCTAGGCGCGAGCCTTCGGCGTCTCGTGTCTCTCTTGCACCGTCTGGGGGGTCTTTTGAGGGCCTCTTGTGTTTTTTTTGGGGGGGCGCGTCCAGTCGGGGCCCTGAAGAAGGAATCCTTTTCGCTGGGGAGGCGCTCCGTGTTCCTTAATTGTTTCGCAGTTTGCCTTAGGTTTTCGATATGATATCGAAATTCAACTTATGGAAATAGGGGTCTCGTTCCTAACGTTCCTAACGTTAGGAACGAAGGGCGTTCCTAACGTTTAGGGCGTTCCTAACGTTCCTAAGTTGACAGTCGGGGCGTTCCTAACGTTTAGGGTTCCTCAGGTCAACGCCCCGACTGTATTCTACCCAGGCAGAACATCTGCAGCGGGCGACCCCCCCTTCGCGGACTCGGCCCGACCTCTCGGGCCGGCGGGCGGGGCCCCCTCCCCTCCCCTCCAGATCGACCAGGCCAGGCTCCGGGGGGGGGGGCGGATCTGGGAAAGGCATCGTGTTTTTTGTGGAGGACAGTCAGTGGAGAGGAAGCATGTTGCCAAATAACTTCCAGATGTATGCAGCATGTGTTAAGCATGCTTTGAACATATAAGCACATGTTTGGAACATGCTTAGAACATGCTTCCGACAGTTTAAACACATTTGAAATCCAATGATAGGACTGCTAGGGTGTCCATTGCCGTGGCATCCACAATCGTATTTCACACGCCGATGACACCCGAATGGATTGGCGGATGTGTTCTAGACGTCGGAGGTTCGGGAATTGGACTGGGCCTCTCTTGAGGCGTCGATCAGCCTGGCATATCCACGTTTTCGCAGGCCGAGCTCTTGGGGCGCGACCCCATGGATGCGGGGTGTTTTTTTTCGCGACGGCCCCGCGTGGAGTGCATCCATGTGGTCGCGTATACACGGGAGCGTGCCAGGGAGCGCGGTTCGCAGGGGCGTGGATATGGATATGCTCGCCGCCCGCGGTCAGTTTTCCCCGACCAGGCCTTTGCAAACATCGACCTTGAATCTCTCGTGGGGCCCAACCGTGTCCATGGTCTACTCTGGATGAGCTTGGGGCTGTCCACGGCGCGAGAGTCCCTCCCGCGGGTCGACTTTCGAGGGCCCATCGCATCGCCTGGACGTGTGCATGTTTTTTCTAGGCGAGCGCCTTCGAGGAGCATCCTCGACCATCGGGCCAAAAAAACACGCGCGAAACCGAAAAATGCACGGGGAATGGACGTCCGAGCGACGGCGGGGGGCTCCCGGGGCCAGAAGTCGCCGAAAGCGCCGAGAGACCGCCGCGAGCCTCCATCGTCGGATTCTTCCTCCTTCCCTTCCCGAGAGAGGAGGAGGAAGAGGGGGAGGAGGAGAAGGATGACGACGACGACGACGATCACCACCCACCAAACCACCCCAACCCAACCCGAAGGCCTCAATTTGCCCTCCATTTCCGGTTGTGGGGGGGTCGGGGAACATCGAGAAAACACATATGGAACCCGTACCCCCCCCCAACCCGAAATTCGGGTCTTCGGGTTGGGTTGGGGAGGTCTGGTAGGTAGTCAGACGACGACCACGACGACGACGACGACGACGACGACGACGACGACGACGACGACGACGACGACGGCGTCTGAGGCTGATCTACCAGGACTTTCGGTGTACTGTCCCTCTCGTGGGTCATTTTGTCGGGCCTCGTGACATGGTTGGTGGCCTTTTCGGTGGCCTGTGGGGCCGTCGTGGCACGGTCGTGGAGACGTCTTGAGCCGAAAGAACGCCGGAGGGCCTCTCGGGAAGTTTTTGTTGGAGTTCTCGTCGAGTGCGTTCGGGGCTTACGGGGCCGCTCTGCGGCCGTCGTGGGCGTCTTGGAGAGAGATGTGGGGCATTCGGGGGCCCTCTTGGGCAGTCTACTGCGTGCTAGTGCAGGGTTCTCGCGGGCCCCCTGCCAACGGCGGCTCCGCCCGCACCGCCAGTAATGATTTCTGCGGCTGGCATTATCGGTGTTCGCCATGCATGCATGGGGCGTCAGGCGAGAACCCACGTTTGCAGACGGTGGGCGTCTTTCAAAATGCCAGAAGGGATGATTATCGCATGGCCTTGGGCACACCCCGCCGCCGTGCCTGGGTTGCGGGTTTGACGCCGTTCGGATGGCTGATGGGGTCGCTTGGGAGGCGCGTCGGGAGCGTCATGGAGGCAGTTTTTGAATCTGTTGGGGGCCTCCTGGCGGCGTTTGGGGGCTTTGACAGACAAACAGAAGCCGCGCAATGGATAGGCACATGCAAAAATAGTTGAGATAATGGATTGCGCTGCTAGCGGCTCGGTTGCAGACCATCGGTAGACTTTGTACCGAATGGGAGGCGATGCGTTGACCTGCCGGCAATCCGCGGAGAGAGAGGTGAAGGAGATGGAGGAGGGAGGGAAGGAAGGAGAGGAGGAAACAACCAAATCACTTCTACTTGCACCATCTCGTGACGGCGGCGCGTGACTGCACGTCGCTCCCTGGGAGCTCCTGGAGCCCGTCGGGGCTCCCCCCCCGAAGCTTCCGGGGCTCGGGAGTGCAGAGGATGTCTCCACTGCAGGCGTGGCTGGCCCCTCGCTCGAGCGCTCCCCCGAGGCCTGGGGATCCGACGATTGTGGGCATCAGCTGCAAGAAGCATGCGTCTTGGCAGGCTGCTCGCGGGTTCACGGGCGAGCCGGCCGTAAAATAGCAGCTGGCGTCGCAGCAACAAGTCGGACGGTCTCTGAGCACCTGCACAGTCTAAAACGCCAGCGTTGCCGACGCGAGAAGCATATGCAGGAGCGATCGTGATTATTTTCCTGAGACACCGCGCCTGGAATGCATCTAGCTTCGCCCTGTCTGCTTGCAGCAACACACAAGGTTCGAGGCCATGGAGCAGTTTGGAAAAGACGCACGCCTCCAAAACCTTAATCTTGCGCTGCTCGCTTGGCGTGGTTCCACACAGAGCGAACTTTCTCAAATGCTCCTTTTGCCTCTCCTAGGCGCATTGGTCAACTCACTCTTCTGCTTGCCGTCGACGTTGGGGAACCCGCCCAGATAGACGGCACTGCTCTGACACGGGATGGATTCGCCGTCTGGCCCTCTGATGTTCGTTTCGGACCTGATCCAGAGAAGTATACACACTGCTCATTCCTAATTATTCGAAAGTTCTTGATTTTATGGGGGCCAAGATCCTTTCATTTCTAATTCTTCTATCCTGGGCCTCTTCCTGGCCGCTAGGGGGTCAGGAAGAATTAGAAACGAGCACAATTAGAAATGAGCACGATTAGAAATGAACGACGTGTAGTTTTGCCCACGTTCAGGTCCAGACCAAAAGTCCTCCCGATCTGGACGACTGTGTTCAAATGCTCCTGAAGGTACTCCAGCCTGTCTGCCACCAACCTCGTGCCGTCCGCGTACAGAA